AAACTGAAGAATTCATAATATTGCCTTATCTTCATATTCTGGTATCTTTTGGTAAATAAGGGAGAGGTATTTTTTGTTCCATGAAAAGAAATTCTAAAAAAAACCCCGGGATGGAGGGAGCGCCCTCTCCACCTTCAATGCTGCCTTTCTGCACCCTCTGAGAGAGACTGTGGAGCTCCTCCAGGAAGATCTTTTTCAAAGGCTACTCAGAAATTCTTGTTCCCGAACACTTCTCCCTGCATCCTAATTTGAGTCAACTTAATCTTACGTGGTGGAACTTTGCTTATGAAACAGTGGCCTGGAAGTGAATGATTTGCTTACCAGTATGAGCCTATTTTTTTTATTCAGAACAAAGATAGAGACCTTTGACATCTTGATGCTCTTGCTCTTTCTATTTTTGTTAAAAAAAAAAAAAAAAAAAAACCTTTTAATTTCCCAGGCAGATGACTTAGCTCTAGTGTAAGCCAATAGTCTGGACGTTGTTTTAGTGAGGTTTAAGTATCCTTACCTTTTCCCCTTTTATTAATGAGGGTTGCACTTTTCATGATTCTGTATCTCAGAGTAGTTGAAAGACATCATCTTTTAAATATTCTTAAAAGAAGAAATCTGCATTTAAAAATCTGTATTTAGTAATTGAGTGTCTTTGCTGTTTTCTGGGGAAATAAGTGAAAGAAAACAAAAGGGCAAATAAGAGTACAATAGAACTCACTGGCCCATGGAGTTTCATGGTATTAAAGGAATCTAACCCTGTAGAGTACATCCCAGATTCCCTGATAAATCAGTGCTTTGCCTCAGAGGCAAACCAACTACTTGCCCACGGACTCATGTGCAGCATTTTTATCCATATCACTTTTATAATTCACATGTCACTTGAGCAGTGTGATCTGCCATCAGGCACATCTGCAGGGAAGGACCCCATCTGGTTCATGAATGAATCCCTCACAGCACCTCATCCTGCTGTGCCCTGTCCAGGGCAGGCAGAAGAATATCCACTCCTCAGCACCCCAATGTGGCCCTCTAGTAAGAGCCATAAAAACCATGTCCTTAGGGCCCTCCCTGGTGGCACAGCAGGTTAAAGCACAGCACTAAGAAGCTTAAGCCAATTCTGCATGAGTTCGATCCCTGCCTGCCCCAGAGGAGATCCACATGGCATGGCAGAACTCTCCTGACCCACCCACTGCTCCTCTCAGCAGTGTACTTCATTGATCTGCCTGTTCTACTCCCCACTCTGTCTCTGGTGAAGCCTCTCACCCTCCACATTTCTAGCCTGTACCCCAGTTCTATATGAATAAATAAATCAATCGTAAAAAAAGAAAAAATGCCTTTATGCTAGTCCACATTTGACTTAAAATACTTGAAAAGCCACAAACTAGTGGTAACAAGTCCCACCCTCCACTGAGGCCCACTGATCGTGCAGGTTTTCCTAGGCCACCAAGGTCCACTGAGTTTGCCTGCGTTACCTGGCTTGCCTTTCCAAAACTAGCTTTGGCCTGCTGCTTTAGCACCGTGTTATTGTTTTTGCTATTCTAGACATTCTGCTTTACTGGTTTGTGGGGGCACCCTCCTGACCTGAAATTATTCTCCAGTCAGACTGATAAATGGTCCTTGGGCATGGTGCTTGGATTGGGGGACACTCTCCTAGCTCCAAATGAGTGTTTCTCAATCAGGCTGATAAGTGGACTTAGGAGCTTAGTGCACCCTGTTCCTAACTCACTGCCTATTCCCATTTCCTAATGCCCTTCTTTAAAGTATAGAACTGCAAGAAGTTTTAACCAATTTGAAGGGAATTTAAGTTAATGAAAAGAATGTTCAAGATTGTTCTTCCATAAAATGACTTTTTTCTACCCATCAAGTCTAGTGTACAATTGTATTTTGTGCAACTAACATTTTCTAGATGTTTTAATTGCTGCTAGTAAAATAGGGAGAAACACTTATCATTGCAGCAAAAGTATATTCACAGTATCACTTAATGGCTAGTTATTTCACCCCCTTGAAAGATCACAGTTTTTTACAAATGAAGGCTAATTCATGGGGAGTAATGTTAAGGCACTTTTTGATAACATTGTGCCATCTTCAATATTATCACTTCATCTTTCTTCTGTATTTTCCCTCCACTTGTGTTTTATATTCACTATCATGTGGCAACCATGTTCTGTCCTCCACATAGATCATCTGTGTAGATAAAGATGCAAACACTAGCCCTCCCTGGTGGCACAACATGTTAAAAGCGCAGCACTATGAAGCTATCACAGCCACTGCAGCATGAGTTTGATCCCCCTCCAGGGAGGTATGGCAGACCTCTCCTGACCCTCAGCAATGTATTTCAATAGATCTGCCTTTTCTGCTCCTCACTTTCTCTTTGGAGAATCCTCTCACCACCTGCACCTCTGTCCTATACCCCATTCTGTATGCTTAAATAACTCTGCAAAAAAAATAAAAGATGCAAACACTCACATATCAGACTTTTCCATTGTGTTGTCCTCCCTCTCTCCCATTTCTCTTCTACCACATTTGTCTTACCTTTTTTATTCATATTTAATTGTGGTAAAATACACATAACATTTACCATTTTGGTGACTTTTCATGGATAGAGTTTAGTGGCACAAATAACATTTATATTGTCCTCACTTCAGCAGTACCCACCCACAGAACTCTGCATCTTGTAAAACAGAAATTCTATACTCTCAGAGCAACAACTCCCCATAATTCAACTTTCTGTTGCTATGCGTTTGCCTAAATAGGTGCCTCATATATGTGGACTCACATGGTAAAAGTCCTTTCATGACTGACTTATTTCACTTAACATATGTCCTAAAGGCTAATCCATGTTGCAGCATGGATCAGTATGTCCTTCCTTTTTAAGTCTGGGTAGTATTCTGTTGTATAGACCACACACCACATTTTGTTTATCAATGGACACTTGGGCTGCTTTTGGTTGCTGTGATGCTGATATGAACTTAAACTAGCCGTACTGCTTTGCCCCCCCCTTACCCATTCACCCCACTGCCTTTTTTTCTGTCCGTATTATTGACTTATCAGTGGTATCCATTGCCATTGCTTAGTCCCACTCTCTTTGCCTTACTCTTCAAGTTTGATTTTCCAGGTATCCAATATTTTCTATCTTTGGTTAGACTTGGACAAACTCACAGAACTCTTCAGATCTTCAGAGGAATTAGACTGAAGTGAAAAATCAGTGCAAGACATTGGGCGAGGTGTATAAGATAGCACATAATGTAGGACTGCTGGGGTGATGGGTAGCAGAGCAGAGGTCTGGTCCCCAACTTCAAGGAGCTTTAAACTTACAGCTATTCATCACTTTACTCGTTACTTTAAATAATTTGGAAAATTGTATTGTCAGATTTATTCACTAAGTCTGGACAAGTTTGCCTCTGCTCCTCTAGGACACTTGGACAATGACTGGGGACTGTTTTGGTAGACTCAACTGGTAAGGGAGCATTATGGCATGTGGGCAGGGGCAGAGCACAGGGCAGCCTGCACAGCAAAGAGGTGTCTGGCTCAGAATATCAGTGGTGCCAAGGTTGAGAACCCCTGCAGTATGCAATAATATGTAGTTTATTTATTACTTATTTGTTTAAAGATGTATTTATTTTTATGCATATAGAACTGATGTATGCATAAAAATACCAGAGGTGCAGGGCCCATGAAAGGATTCACCAGAGACAAAGTGGGGAAAAGAACAAGCAGATCGAGGAAGTACACTGCTGAGGGGAGCAGTGGGCAGGTCAGGAGAGGTCTGCTGTGCCATGTGGGTCACCTCTGGGGCTGGGGATCAAACTCACACTGAAGCAGCTGGGGGTAGCTTGCAGTGCTGAGCTTTAGCCCATTGTGCCACCAGAGAGGGTCCCACAATAATACAAAATTTAATGCTGATTAATCACCTGGTAATGAGCATAAAAATGTACAAGTCCTTTTCCTAAAGAAGCATTCCTTATGATGTTAAAATCAAGTAACTTAAAATCAAGTGAACATTTCCCAAACTATAATTTTAATTATTTGTTAATGAATGGTTGAGTGGAATTATAATATCTAAGGAAAATTTTCTAGTAAAAACTTCATATGAAACACATAACTTACCACTTAACACAATTGGCATTTGAATCGAGAGAACTTCTGCACAATTAATAAGCTTTCTTTGAATTTGAAAATCACTGTGTAATTGCCCACCCCACCCCCCGATCTCTCTCTTGATTATTTCATGTAGACTAAGGCTAGACTTAGAACTCAGCTCCTATGCAGATCTCTTAGGAAAAACTTCTGAAATCCATGAAAATATTTTATAATATTAATTTAAAATATTTCACGGACTACCCACTTACTAAATAACATTTTTAAAAAAATGTTTTTTTTAATGATTGTCAAACTACCTCTTTTTCTGAGCTGGAATACTAACTAGGAAACACTTCATTTAGTTACTGGCTTTCTGGTTGCAGAGTTTAGTAATGAATTATGGTTTCCTAAGCTTTCTTTCCTAAAATTGAGCTAGCAAATGGAATGGATTGAGAAAAGGATCATATGAAGATATATATATATATATGCAGACACCATGTTAGATAGCTATAGGGATGGAATGCCTGAGACATGTTGCTGCCCAAAATCTTACACCAGAGAAGATTCCCATGGGGCCATTGATGGAGAAGTCACCCTGGTAATGGTCCACTGGGACACGTGTTTAAATGCTTACCTGACTCAGCTAGCCTAGTGGAGTTGGACTGGACCCATAACAATTGTGGGGCTGTGATGAGCATTCCACTCTCACCAGTCCTATCCCTTAGTAAACTTTTAGTGCTAAGCATTGAAAATTGATGCTCATGGTAAGAATCTAGAACTTCTATAATTGCCAAGGAAAGAATAGATCCCAGCTTCGTGTTCCAGTTACCTGACGCTAATCCATAGGTCATCATGGGAATGCTTTCCCGCACATAGACGTGAACTTACCCTCAAGCATGTGAACCACGTGACACCCCATTTTTCTTTTCCAGGACCTGGGAAGAAGGCAAGGTGCTCATCTTTGACGACTCCTTTGAGCATGAAGTATGGCAGGAGGCCACCTCCTTCCGGCTGATATTCATCGTGGATGTATGGCACCCAGAACTGACACCACAGCAGAGACACAACCTTCCTGCAATTTAGCAAGTTTTGCTGGCTTCGGACACACTGGAGAGAGATAGTCTTTCAGGGTCTGTCTCCTTTCGTGTTTCATACAAGGTTGAACACCGAGACCCTTAATTCCCTTGGCTTGTAACTGAAAATTCCTAAACTTCCTTCTAGGATGAGAAAACACTAAAGGGAATGTTTGCCTCACTGCAATGCATTTAGAAAATATCTGGCTGTCTTTTTGCCCATGACAGCACTTATTTGATGCCTGTATTTCAGGTGAATATGTCATAGCTTCTACCTTGCAGCCAAAGATGTTTTTCCCATATAGCGTAGGGCATTATATCAGTGTAAAATGAGAAAACATGTAGAAAATGTGAATGAATTGCTTTAGTTTGTAATTTTTCTATGCAATTATATTTTTCTAGAGTAGGTAGGTGATTTTTTTCATTATGGACCACTATTTTGTTGTTTTTAATGACAAGCCCTGTAAATGCTTTCTTTCTACCTATTTAATGGGAACTTTCCTGGTGAACTCAGACTTTCCTCTTTTAATTTTTTTTTTCAGCAAAAGAATCACGTTTTACTGCAAAAGAAAGCAGTTTTACTTTCCTAGTAAAATAATTAGGAACTTCTTTTATTAGTGAAAATGACTTTTCCTAATACAAAAGACAAAGTCATAATTATGGCAAGACCTAAGAGCTCTACTGCTCCCTACTATTTGAGTCTGTTTGCTTTTTTATCTTCACTGACAGCCAGGTCTTAATCTCTCTCCTTGCTATGCAAATGGTGGAGATATTATCAAAATCACCTTTTTTTCCAGAGGAAATTTTTTCACGCTGAAAAAGGTAATGGAATTACTTTATGTTGAGTTATAAAAATGCCACATATAAAATTTTTTTAAGTCAAGTCTTAGAAATTGAGGGGTGTGGGGAGTAGAATTTCTCAAAGTAAAATTTTTCTCTGAGCATTGGGTATATAGGTCACTGGTTGGACATATGGTGTCTGCCTCTTGGCTATCCAGAATCCAGAATGGCTTTGCCTTTATTGTGGACCCAGGTGAGTGATGCTGTTCAATTCTTAAGAGGATTCCTATCACAGTTTTATCAAGATAGGTAAGGTGGCCCAGTGAAAGATCAAGAATGCCAGGATGTAGAAACAATAATTGAAAGGTGCTCTTGCCTATTCATTCCAAAGGTGGCAAAGCCTTAAATTTTATAGAGTATTAATGCACTAAATTTTATACTTCCTAAATCGGATTTAGAAATGTTAGCTGTGAGTATGTTATGGTATTTATGCACTGAATGTTAAGCCAGTCTGAACAAAACTGCTTAAGAAATGACACGTTACTACTAAATTTCATTCACAGGTGCTTGTGCTTATTATATTTGTTGCTGTGGACAAAGGAGAATGCCTTATCTCATTTAAAATACAGTTCTTTGAAGTTAAAATGGATCCTTTTGCTTGTCCTTTAGGTCATTAACTTACAGGTTCTAGTTTGCAGAATATTTAATCCTAGTCCTATTTGTTTCAAAAATCCCACTAAAATAGATGGAGAATTATGTAAGGAAACATGTCAAAATAAATCACCAGAGTCCAGAAGAGAAAGTATACTCTTGAAAAAAAAAACAAAAGATATTTGTGTCCTTCAGTATTTATTGAATGAAGAAAATGACTGACAAAAGGACAATACAATCCAATGCTCATGTAGTAACATTCATGTCACTTACTGAATTTGGTTTTTGTATGATATTGCATACACATTAAAGAAATTCAAAGTATGAGTTCGTCATTGTTAAACCATCATCATACATTCATTTAATGAAATCATAGACTAGAGTAAAAACTAGCTCTTAACTTAGTAATTGTAATATGGCATTTAAAATTGGGTCACTACTGTAAGATTCTAAATATTGCCAATTGAAAAGCAGAATCATAATTATTGTTGCAAAGTGTTGGCACTGATTGACTTCAAAAGCATTTTAAATATTTGGATCCCACAACTATTTAAAAAACCATAGTAATAAGATGGATTTTCTAATTCATTTTAATTCTTCATCATCCCTATATCATGGTATGTCAGGAAAGTGTTTCAGTCACCACATTGGTAGAATTATTTCAGTGTTATTATTCTGTTACTTGAAAGTTTATGCAAAATCAATTGGTTTTGTTTATATTGTGATATAATTTGTGAGAAATAATTTTGAATCTATTTCAGTTTTATTTCAGGGGTAGAATACAAAAACTTACTTGCTATCTACAAGTCAAAAAAATAAAACACTAGATAAAGAGATGTAGTAAATGTTAAGATCAATAATAATCTCTATTGAGGGTGACAGTGGACAGTTGAATCACCTCTTTCATTTGCATATTTTAGCTAACAAATTATCTTTCCCAAATACTTAACCTGGAAGATCATATTTTACTGCCCATTATCAACTAAAATAATTTTTGACATTGAGCACCAACTGGTTATACTAACAAATGCCCATGTCATGCAGAGGGAAAATAAGGGATATCTAAAATAATCTAAAAATTAAAACTGGTTTTGGGAAACATGGCACAAGTAGGTATATCATATCCTATGATATCGGTTTATTTTTATTTAATTCCCTTTGAATGGCTACTTGGGACTCCATTCCTAAGGAGAATAGACAACAAAATAAAATGATCTTTGGCATTTCATCCTGTGTTCCTAGTCTTCTCTTCTCTTCACAACTTGCATATTAGCCATCCTTAAGGGTCTTCTCCATGATCAAATACCTTCCTCTCCCCCTTTTTCACAGGTGGGTGGGTGGGTAATGCTGTTTTAGCATTATTCTTTGTTGTAGTGACCCAGGTGAGGCAACTTGAATGGATTCATAATCACTGGCAAGTAATTTTAATGATACCCCCAGCCCTTCTGCAAACATATGCAGCATGTGGGAAGTCACACTGTTAAGATTATTTCATCATTTTTCAAATTATATGTATCTTTCAAGACAGCTCATGATAATTAGCTGGAGGCCTGACCAAAAATGTGACAACAAAATCATTTTTGCAGGATATTAAAATAAACAAACTGCAAATAGCCAGACCTACGAGAATATGCTCTTAGGCTGAACAATCCAATGCTGGTGATGAGGTCAAAGGAAATAACTGAATGGGAATGAAAATTACTGGAGATACTATTATCTCGGGGCTTTGCACTACATTAAACTTGACAATCTTGTCTGCACAGTTTAATTCTGAAACATCTACTTGAAAATGCACTTAATCTTAAATTGCAAAAACTGAAGAAGGTCTCTGTGTGATTCCTCAAAAAAAAAA